TAGCGAGTAGGGGGTAGCGAGTTGTAAATAGTGAGGAGCGAGTAGGGCGTTGTGAGTAGTGAGTAGTGAGTAGAGAGTAGTCAGTAGTGAGTAGCGGGTAGTGACTAGTGAGTAACGAGTAGGGAGTAGCGAGTAGTGAGTAGTGAGTAGTGAATAGTGAGTAGGGAGTAGGGAGTTGTGAGCAGTGATTAGTATGAAGTGGGTAGCGCATAGTGGGTAGTGAGTAGCGATTCGTGAGTAGTGAGTAGTGGGTGGTGAGTTGTGACTAGTGACTAGTGGCTAGTGACTTGTGACTAGTGTAGTGAGTATTCAGTAGTGAGTATGGGAGTAGCGAGTAGTGGGTACTGAGTACTGTGTAGTCAGTATTGTGTAGGGAGTAGCGAGTTGCGAGTAGTGGGTAATGAATCGTGATCTGTGGGCATCCTGTAGTGAGTAGTAAATAGTGAGTAGTGGATAGTGGGTAGTGGGTAATGAGTGGTGATTAGTGAGTAGTGGGTGGGGACTAGTGAGTAGTGATTAGTGAGTAGTGAGTATTGGGTAGTGGATAGTGAGGAATGAGGAGTGAGTAGTGAGTAGTGAGTAGGGAGGAGGGAACAGTGAGTAGGGAGTAGTGAGTAGCGAGTAGTGGGTGGTGGGTTTTGAGTAGTGGATAGTGAGTAGTGCGTCGTGAGTAGTGAGCAGGGGGTAGTGAGAAGTGAGTAGCGAATAGCGAGTAGTCAGTAGTGGGTAGTGAGTAAGTAGTAGTGAGTACTCTTTGGGGCTGGGGTTAGTGGTTGGGTGAGGGTTAGGGTGAGGACTAGGGGTAGGGGGTGGTGGGGGTCGGGTTCCGGAGTCAGGGGCGGCGTGGCGAAAGGGGGGGAGGGGGGGGGGGGGGGTGCGGCCAAAGGGGGGGAGGGGGGGGGGGGTCTGGACCCCCCACCTTTTTGAAAGGATGCAAGGGGGGGGGGGGTCCCGACGACGGACTAGGAAAGGAGGGAGGGGGGGGGGTTCCCGACGACGGATCGGGGAAGGGGGGGAGGGGGGGGGTTCCCCGACGACGGATCGAGGAAATGTAGGGGGGGGAACCCCTTGGGGAGATCCAGCGGCGCGCCTTCTTGAGCAACCGCGCCGACTCCCAATTCACGCTCCCTCCTCTTCCTCTTCTTCGCGGAAGGAATGATCATGGTGATGATGCGGATGCTGGTGATCATGCTGATGCTGATGTTCTGATGATGACGGTGGCGGTGATGATAACGTGGATGACGACGACGACAATAATAATGATGATGAGAATGCTGTCTATGGTGGTCACGATGATGATGTTTCCAATGATGCTGCTGCTGATGATGATGCCGATGCTGCTGCTGATGATGATGATGACGATGTGGATGATGATGCTGATGATGCGGGCGATGATGTTGACTATGATGATGCTGATGCTGATGCTGATGCTGTTGCTGATGCTGATTCTGGTGATGAAGCTGCTTCTGATGATGATTATGATGCTGCTGATGATGATGATGCTGATGCGGATGTTGCTGCTGCTGATGATGATGGTGATGTTGATGACGATACTGCTGCTGCTGATGATGATGCTACTGATTATGATGTCGAGGCTGGTAATGATGATGCTGATGCTGATGAAGATGATGATGATGATTATGCTGATGACGATGTTGCTGATGATGATGTTGATACTGATGCTGATGCTGCTGCTGATGATGGTGATGATGGTGATGATGATGATGATGATGATGATGATGGTGATGATGGTGATGATTATGATCATGATCATGATCATGATGATGATGATGATGATGATGATGATGATGATGATGATGATGATGATGATGATGATGATGGCGGGACAGATTTTGAGGATGTGTCGGGCGAGGCGCTGGTTTCAGCATTCCCAAGGGGGGGCGCCATGGTGTATCTTACTCCTCCGTTTGCGCCCACATTGCGGGGATGTCTGGAGATGTTTGCCTGTTTGTGTGCCCAGCAAAATTTGCTTTCGGAGCAGATGTTGACGATGTCTCGGGTGAGGCGCTGGTTTTCGCATCGCCAATGTGGGGGCGCTTGGGGGTGTCTCACTTTTCCGTTCGCGCCCAGATTGCGGAGATGTCGCGAGCGGTTTGCCTGTTTGCGTGCCCAGCTCTTTCTGCCTTCGGAGCATATTTTGAGGATATTCTCCAAATAGGCTTGCCCTACAGGAGTTCTAACTCAAACCCTACTAATTGGTCCGTTGCCCCCCCCTAATTCCTATGCCCCCCTAATTCCAATGGCACCCCCGAGCTATTTCCAATGGCGAGTCCTATGGATTTCTGTGGATTCCACATCAGCATCTCACACTCACTTGCATTTGCGTGCTTGCTCTTGCGTGCTTTCTCTCGCTTGCTTGCTCTTGCTTGCCCTTGTTTGCTTGCGCTTGATCGCTGACTCTTGCCTGGTTGTTATTGCTCGCTTGCACTTGCTTGCTTCCGCTTGCTTGCTTGCTTGCGCTTGCTTGATTCTGCTCCTCCCGTCCTCCTGCCGTCCTGCTCCCGTCCTCCTTTCGTCCTCCTCCAATCCTCCTCGCGTCCTCCTCCCGTCCTCCTATCTATTTGGAGTCAACGCTGGCTGACATTTCGGGCGAGGCGCCGGTCTTCTCACCCCGCGGGGGCCCACGTTGCGAGGACGTTTCGTGCGGCATGGACGCCCGAAATGGGTACGGAAAGAATGGGTACGATGCCCAACAGCAGTTCTTGTTCATTGTGAACAGGATTCGTTTTCCACGCCGCCGCGGACTGTGTCCATTCGAGACAGAAGGCCGCCTGCCCAAGAGCGGCGGCTGTTGGTTTGGGACAACATTTGTTGTTGGGCATTGTGCCCATGTTTTCCGTGCCCATTTCGGGCGTCCAAAGTGCGGTCTGCCCCTCGGGTGGCCAGACCCGTCTGCGCTCCGAGCAGGCTCTCAGGATGCCTCCGGTGAGGCGCCGTCCTGCGCGACCCGTGTCCCAGGAGGGAAAGAAACACACAGACACAATCAATCGTCGACTCCCAGGAAAATATGCAAAAATATGGGAAGTGGAGGGGAGGACAAAACCCCCAAATTCATGTTGAAGATATGGGGAATCTTTTTATTTGTGTGTGTTTATTTGTGTGTCCTGGGGCCCCTTCAGTGTCCTGTGCTCCGCGGCCTGTGTGTCTCCGACGCCGCGGCGCGGAGAGGCCTCGGCCTCGAGGCGCCGCCCGCGCCGTGCGCGGGCGGCGTGCGCGGGCGGCGCCGCGCGGTGTGCGACGAGAGCCGCTCCCCCGGGGAGGCGTCGCGGGGACCGACCGTGCAGTCGTCGGGGGCGGCAAAGAGGGGGGTGATGACTAGGGAGGGGGTGGATATCGAGGCGGGGGCCACGATATTTCCCCAGATTTCGTGGCGCCCCTTCTTACTTCAGTACGTCCCTGGCCCCCCCGCTGGGCAGCGCACATGCCGCCGGTCATGATTTGCACCCCCCCCCTCTTGGACACCCCCCTCTTGGCCGCTGCCGAAGTCGGGGTGGACTGGAGAGGGCGCGCGAGAGGACGACGGCCACCAGAGCGAGACGACGGGCGCCGAGAGAGGCGATGGCCGCCGAGGAGAGCAGAGGCCGCCAAGCAAAGCGCAGGCTGCCGAGAGCAGCGAAGGCCCCAGGGGGGGAACAAAAAGAACGAAGGCCGCCGAACAAGCGAGACCCTTCCGATGGCCGCATGGCCAGGGGCTCCGCTTGCGAGGACGTCTCGGGCGGCGTGCCCGGTTGTTGGTGGCCGGGCGCGTCTGCGTCCGGAGAGCAGGGCCCGAGGCTGTTCAGTGCGCGAGGCCACGAGGTTTATCAGCACCCTCAACGGGGGGGCCCTGTCCTCTCCTCCTCCTCTTCCTCCTCCTCCTTTGCTCCTCCTCCTCCTCCTCCTCCTTTTCTCTCCTCCTCCTCCTCCTCCTCCTCCTCCTCCTCCTCCTCCTCAGTAAAGATCCATTGTTAACGTTTCCTTTCGTGAGGACTATTTTCGAAAGGTTCCCTGAGCAGGGACTCTGGATTGACGTTTCCTATATGTACGGACCACCAATGCTCTCTAGTAGAGATGATTTTGTCGCCCTGCTATCGTAGGGACTTTTCAATGATCGGCTCCTGAGTAAGTATTCCCCACCAAGGATTTTTAATATCGAATCTTTGTCACGCTTGCCTTCTCAGGAAATCTTCACTAACGTCACCTTAGTAAGGATCCCAGTCGTAAGGGTTCTTCAGGGTCCCATGCTTTGGGCCAAGTAGAGGCCGAACGTGCGTGTGGACGACAAGTCCTGCGAGACTTAGCGCTCGCAGACGCCTTGGTCCCGCTTACGGGATCTGGCAATCGAGTGCTTTTTAGATTCAATCCCTCCGGAGGCCAGTACGATGCGATGCGGTGCCCCCCCCCCCCCCCCTGCCAGAGGGGGCATCAGAAACCCGGCGTATCTCCTGTGGGCAGCGACGGGGAAGCACGCCCCGTTGGATGGGTTTCAGACTGCTGTTCCGTTGTTGTGGTCATTGTCGACGTCGTCGTCGCCGTCGCTGTCGACGTCGTCGTCGTCGTCGTCGTCGTCGCCGTCGACGTCGTCGTCGTCGTCGTCGTCGTCGTCGTCATCGTCCCCACGACCCCCCCCGCGACCCCCCCGCGAATCACCCGCGACCCACGCCGTGCCCGCGCCCTCCTTTCTCGCCCGCAGTCGCGGGGTGAGGCGTACAGTCGGGGCCCTGAAGAAGGAACCCTTTTCGTTGGGGAGGGGCTCCGCGTTCCTTTAGTGTTGCACAGCTTGCCTCACGCTTTCCTTATGTTTTCGACAGGAAATCGAAGGTTAACTTATGGAAAAAAGGGGCCTCGTTCCTTATTTAGGGTTCCTTAGGTCAACGCCCCGACTGTATTCTATCTCCCCTGCGAACCCTACGTATTCTTTCTCCCCGCCGAACCTCTTCCCTCGTCCTCCTTTCCTGGCCTTCTCCCAGCTGCGGCCTGCCTGCCTTGCTCGGCGCGAGTGATGAAGGTGTGCCTGCGCGAATCCGCTGTCGGGCATTTGCCATTGGGGCCCAGGCCGCGCCAGTGGGACAGGGATATGTCAAACGATGCTCAGAGGCGCCGCTGCCCAAGGGGAGGCGCGGTCGATTGGTGAGGAGGAGGAGGAGGAGGAGGAGGAGGAGGAGGAGGAGCTGGAGGAGGAGCTCGAGAAGGAGCCTCCTTCAGCTTAGTTTGTTCGCTGGCCGACGTGGCCAGCTTCGAATTCGGCTCCCTCGCACGCCGCACGCCTGAAGGCGTGGTCCTGGTACGCGAGGCCCAGGCGATCCCTTGGTGATGACCACCGACGGCGCTCGGAGCCGAAGAAACATCAATCACAATAGAGCGTTGTGGGTTCATGTTGTGTGTCCCAGCCAGTTCGATCATATCTTTCTGCTTTACATCTTGACCACGCTCGAGAAGACCTCGCTCGAGTGTGACCGTGTTGCTCCTACTTTATTTTGCACGCGCCTTCGATCGGCAGTTGGCACGGCATGTGTTTTCCGTTAGCGCCGCTTTGTGATATTCGGGTGTTGACAAAGGTGTCCTTGGCCTGAGGTGCCCCAGGATCCCCGGGGAGGCCCAGTTAGCCTCCGCTGAGGAGGAGGAGGAGGCGGAGGAGGAGGAGGCGGAGGCGGAGGAGGAGGAGGAGGAGGATTACGAGGCCTAGAGGGTTCCAGGGGCTTCAGAATGGCGCGAAAAGCCTGGGACACCTTGGGTCAAGACTCCTCATCCTTCTCCTCCTCCTCCTCCTCCTCCTCTTCCTCCTCCTCCTCCTCCTCCTCCTCCTCTTCCCTCTCCTTCCTTTCGGCCACGCTCCGCACGCTCCGCACGCTCCGCCTCCTCCTCCTTCCAGCAACACCCGAGAGATGCCTCAGGGCGACGCTCCTTAGATTTACCCAGCATGGTCACTGCCAGTTTGTGTGTCCTGACGTGCCCGTCGTGCTCTCGTATGCTGTGACCAGTCTCGAGCCACTCTCTCTCTCTCTCAATGGCGAAGTCGCGACCTCTGACTTGCCTTTCTCGTCCTACCTCGCCTTCGCAGCTGATGGATTGGTGAGGGCTCCGCAGTACCTCATCCCCCTCCCCTCCCGAATGGCACACCACCCGTTCCTCGTTCGCCCAACGAGGTACCCGACGAGCCTCATTTGCAAGTGGTTTGGCTCTCCGTTTGCCTCCCCTCATCGTTATGGTATCTCATCGTTTCCCTCCTTACTCTCTGTTGCAACACAAGAGGTGCCCGAGCAGCCTCAGTTCAAGCGGTCTGGCTCCGACTCTCTTTCCCTTCTTTCCTGGAAGCCATGCCGCTGACTCAATGCGACATCGAGTGTCTGTCATTCTAACGAGTTGCCCGACCGACCTCATTTGCATCTGGTTTGGCTCCGATGCTCTTCCCTTCTTGTTTGTTGTTTAATGAAAGCCTTGAGTTTAAGTGACATTTGTTTGGGACGTTTAGCGGCCACTGGCGGCGAACATTGGGTGATGTGATTGGTTGGCGGTTGGCGCGGGGCGTGTTCCGCTATTTGCAGATAATCGGTTGCCGCTATCTGCCGCTCTTTGTCGCTCGTTGCCGGTAATCCCCCAACATTTGGAGTATGATAGGCTTCAATGATTGCCCGAGACGTACCCAACCCTTTCGCCATGTGCGACGACTCTCAAGAGGAGCGCTCCTGACAAAGGAGCACATGGAGAGATACGCCCGATGTACCACGGGCCCGACGGACCGCCGCCGTGAATCGCTTGCTGCTCCCGCTCCGCCCGCTCCTCAGCTCGCCCTCTCTCCTCCGTTTCCCTGGGCAATGACTTCCGAATGCCTGGCTCGCTCGTCGTCGTCGTCGTCGTCGTCGACAGCGGCCACTGCTGAGGATCGTGTCTCCGCGGGTCCGACGGGACGCGGACGTGCGCCGCCGGCTCCCCCCTCTTTTGCCGCTGGCTCCCCGTGCTCCTCTCGGACCTCCCCCCCCTGGCCCTCGCCCTCGCCCTCCCCCCTGTCGCCCTCGCCCTCGCTCTCGCCCTCCCCCCTGTCCTCGCTCTCGCCCCCCCCTGCCCTCGCTCTCGCCCTCTCCCCTGTCGCCCTCCCCCCCTGCCCTCGCCCTGGCCCTCCCCCCTGGTCGCCCTCCCCGTCCAGGGCGGCGTATATCCCGGCCACGTGCAGAGCATCCGTCCTCCTCCTCCTCCTCCTTTTTTGACGCTGCGCGGACCTAATGCAACATCCTCCTCCTCCGCCTCCTCCTCCTCCTTTTTTGACGTTGCGCGGACTTAATTCAACATCCTCCTCCTCCTCCTCCTCCTCCGCCTCCTCCTCCTCCTCCTCCTCCTCCCGCGTGACTGCCGCTTCGCCGTGCCTCCCAGGAGCCCACGAGAGTGGCGACAGTTGCGCAGTTCGCAGCCACCCAGGGAGCCGAGAGGTCTCGGCTGGGTGCGCGTACTCCCCTGCTCCGCCGTGTCTCCCAGGGGCCCACGAGAGTGGCGACAGTTGCGCAGTTCGCAGCCACCCATGGGGGCGTCGCAGAGGTAGGCAGGAGGATGTGGAAGGAGAAGAAAAGGGAGGAATGGATACCACAGTGCTCTGTTCAAAACGAGAACCCAGCACAGGGTTGGGAGAAACGAGCGCAATGGCTCTCACCTCCAATTCACAGCCATGCCTGCAGCGCGGTGCAGGTCGTGCCCCTCCACAGGCAGAGATCCTGGCCTCGCAGACTCCCCGTGTGTGGGGCTGGGCCATCTTTGCACTGCCCTGCTCGAATGTTCTTTCCTAGTTCTATATTGCGAAGGCCTTACGGCCGGTGCCGCCGACCCTGTTCCCAATGAGCAGCAAGAGACATGGTATGGGTGTGTGCGGGAGGGGGGTAGGGGGGAGAAGGAGGAGAAGGTGGGGGAGGGAGGAATACTTGTGCTGCTGATGGCGTTGTTGGTGCCATTGGTGTTGGCGAGGGGGAGGAGTAGGAGGAGGGGGAGGAGGAGGAGGAGGAGGAGGAGGAGCAGGAGGAGGAGCCCCCCGGCGGGGAGGGTAGGGAGGGGCTTCGCCACGAGCACTACGATGTTCGATTTCCTTCTGCATGGGTCGAGCACTACGATGTTCGATTTCCTTCTATCCGGCGGGGAGGGTAGGGAGGGGCTTCGCCACGATCACTACGATGTTCGATTTCCTTATGCATGGGTCGGCTTGGCTGGCGCGGAGGAGGAGGAGGAGGAGGAGGAGGAGGAGGAGGAGGAGGAGGAGGAGGAAGTGCATCCCGTGTGTGCCCGCTCGAGGAAAGTGCGCCCGGGGAGGCGTCGTATTTGACCCGCTACCCCCCCCCGGGACCCCCCCTCGCTACCCCCCCCCCGGCGGGGAGGGTAGGGAGGGGCTTCGCCACGATCACTACGATGTTCGATTTCCTTCTGCATGGGTCGGCTTGGCTGGCGCGGAGGAGAGGAGGGAGGGAGGAGGAGGACAGACGAGGAGTAGGGAAGGGCTTCGCCACGATCACTACGATGTTCGATTTCCTTCTGCATGGGTCGGCGTGGCTGGCGCGGAGGAGGAGGACGACGAGGAGTAGGAGGAGGGAGAAGAGGAGGAGGAGGAGGAGGAGGAGGAGGAGGAGGAGCAGGAGGAGGAGCAGGAGCAGGAGCAGGAGCAGGAGGAGGAGGAGGAGGAGACAACGACGACGAGCCACACGGAAAAGCCCCTCACACACGCCGACAGGGTCGGCGGATTTCTGGCTGAGTCTGTCTTGTTTGGACACATCGGGCTGATGTTTTAGGAGCATGGTTTATTGTTATCAGAACATATCTGGGTTCTAAGAACATGTCGTGGTAGGCCTATAGAACTGCTTGGACGGTCGGTCCCTGCTCAAAGAAGACTATCCCCTGGCCTCAGGGGCCATAGGGGGGGATAGGCACAGGGGAGGCTACATCGACCTCCAATCGCCCATTCATCGCCGATAAAAGGCCCTATAGCCCCAACCTGCCCATGAAGGTGCGGATTCACTATCGGAGGTCTATCGTCGATCCATCGGCGATGTATCACCGAATCCAGGTCGATGCATCCCCCCCTATGCCGGCCCCCCTGTCGTTGCCCCTCGTGGCCCAAGGTGGCTCCAGGATCTCCAAGGAGGCCCTCACAGCCTCAGGGGCTTCAGAGTAGAGCGGACAGCTGGGGGGCACTTTGGGCGGGGGGCACCTTTGTCGAGCTTCGACCTCCCCCTCGTTGAACCCGCGAGGCGGCCGCGGACATCGAGGCCAGCACAGGCAAGATCGAGGAGCTGGCGCATGGCTCGGCGCCGCCGTCGCCGCGCTGCTGCTGGCTGCTCCTCCGCGTCTCCTCCGCCTGCTCGTCGTCGTCGTCTTCGTCGTCGTCCTCCTCCTCCTCCTCCTCCTCCTCCTCCTCTTCCTCCTCCTCCTTTCAAATCCACGAATAATCAGGGCTGGGGGCGGTCAGGGATAGCTGCAGATTCGCGCCTCGGGGGCCCAAACTGGAGTTACCCCAGACCGCAGGTATCCTGGATAATTCGGGCGTCCAACCTTCCCGAATCATCAGGGCTGGGGGCAGTAACTACAAATTGGCGCCTCGGGGGCCCAATCCGGACTTATCCCAGACAGAAGTTATTCTGGTTAATTCGGGCGTCCAATCCTCCTCTTCTTCCTTCCCGTACCTCTTCCTCCGCGCTCCCATTTCTTATCGTTATTTTAGCGGGGAGCCCAAGGAATTCTAGACGCTTCGCGTATCCCCACCAGCCTTCTTGACGCAGATGACCACCAACGGTAGGATCGGACTCATTCAGGAGACCCACTGGACAGAACACGAGGCGGCCGTCTGGTCCACCATGTTTCACGCACGCACACTTGTCGCCTCTCCAGCCTACATTGGACCAGCCGGGGGTTGCGCCGGCGGAGTGGCGATCATCATTCCTCACGGCGCCACACTCCTCCGGGCGGAAGACCTCGTCCCCGGATGTGCCGTTGCAGCCACCATTAGCCGAGGTGACAGCACCTACCGCCTGGTTTCGGTTGATCTCCCTCCCTCCAGGAAAGCCGAAACCATTGATGCCATCAGGCAAGCCATCGAAAGGTGGGACGACACCCCTACATACTGGGGAGGGGACGTCAACATCCAGTTGGATCGCCCCCCCGCCGCGACACACTAAGGTCCTGACGGGTCGCAGCGCCACTGCCATCACAAGAAGCGCAGCCTTCCGCTGCCATCCTGGACAGGTTCCCACCCTGGACAATGCCCAAAAACAACCAGGGCCCCCTCCGCCGTTGGCCCTCCTGCCTACCGTACAGTGACGAAGGGCCGCCAATGCGAGCGGGCACGCGCGTCTTCCTGGCACGCTTCTGTCCCTGGATGCGTTTGTTCTACTTCCACGGCGGTTGGCGACACTGGTGCGAGATCTGCCAAGAGCCCGTCGACGACACTGAACACATCCTAAGCGCGAAGCACTACGACATGTCGGTGGCACGGTACCAGGACGGGTGGCCAGACCCGGACACCTTCACCATTCCTGGGAATCTTTGGTGCATGTGCGGAGGGAACCCCTACGACGCTACCCACCAGGTGTCTGTCACGCGGTTGGCCTGGCGCGGCTGGAAACCAGTCCAGCCCTTGGTTACCCGCGACGGGGTGCGCTCGCTACCTGGCATCGCAATCCCCGAGGATGCGCTGCACGTGCCCATTACCTACCCCCTCTGGGACGATCCGTCGACATACAACTGCCCAGGAGGCACCAGGGTGGAGCCGGAGAAGGTTCGTTCGCACATGATGGACAGGCTGGGCGCCGCAAAGGAGGGCCTTAGACAGCCCGAGGACGGCGACGGGAACAGGATGCGGGCGAAAACGTCCATCTGGCTACCCCCCTCACCTGGACAGGCCGCAGGCTCCTCTGGGTTACCTCCCCCTCCGCCCCCGCCGTCTCACCCTCCTCCTGCCTGGAGCCCACCCTGCCAGCTGCGAACAGTCCAGCTGGCCGAGGGCAGTGAGACGGAGATTGAAGCTTTCTCTCCGACAAGTCCAGCTGCCCTGGAAGATTCACTGCCCACGCAGGCAGCCTCAGATGTCGCCAACCTTTACTCGGTTCCGCTGGACTCCCCGCACTCTAGAGTCCACCCCAAGGCAGCGCTCGGGGAACTAATCAACGCCGCCCGACTCCCTTCACAATGGCCCTACTCCCTCCAGGACCGAGGGCAAACGTTAAGGAGGATCGCCCGGGTCGAAAGCCAAGCCTCGGTCGAAACGGTAGACGACGGCAGAGGCTCCACGCGAGAGGATTTAGCCAGAAGGGGTAACTGTGCCCTCGGAGTTCGCGTGCTTGGAGGACCTGGACACCTTTCGGCTGCGGAGCGCCATGCACCTACCCGACGGCAAGGAATTTCTATTGTTGGAGTGGCCCTCCATGCGCAAGGTCGCGACCAGACCCCTGGAACGTGACAAAGAGAGCAGGTGGCTTTACATGTCAGTCACGGGCCCGACGGTAGACAAGATCGCTGACGTCTCAGTTTGGTGGCCTCCCGCCCTGGGCGGTCACATCCATCCCAGGGATGCTCAAGCGCTAGGTCTCAGCCCTTCCGACAGGTACCCCTCAAACTGGCGCATCGTCGTCTACAACCACGCGAAGAGCGGGCAGTTTCACGAAGACGAAACCAAGGAGAGACGCCCCCCCCCCAGCGACGATCTCCCTTGGCATCGTGTAGATGAAGCCCCTTCTGACATCCAGTTTTGGCGGCAATGCTCGGCACTGGAACAGATCTACTACCTGCGCCAAAACCCAGCGGATCTGTTCGGCCACCAGCTTTCACCTCTGACGTAACTTCTTGCCTTTGTTCACGCCCCTCGGTCGGATCGAACGTTGGCCAACGACTTGGGACACGTGCGCCCCCTGGGGCTGAGCCTTAGAGCCAGGGCGGAGGCCGCCCCTGAGCGGAACGTCCCAGACGCCGACCACTTGCAAGCAGTCGAAGACGGCGCGCTGCTGCAGGCACCGCCTCTCCCCCAAGACTTAAAGGCGTTCTCTGACGACGAAATCTCAGATACGACTGGCTCCGTCTTTCAGAGAGTGCGCCCTACTCCCAGCGTGGACACGCTCCACGGGACTATCGACAAGCACAGGCCGAACGGCGATGCGACCAGTGCCCTGCGTGCCACCCTGAACCACCATGCTGTTCTTGTGCACGGACCACCTGGAACTGGCAAGACCACCTTCTCAGTTGCCTGCCTGGACATGTGGGGTTCCTACCTACGCCCTGGACACGCTGTCGCTTTGGCAGCAGGGTCCAGCACGGCGGTCGACCAACCAGCTCTGGCAATGATCGAGGCACAACGTCAGCGGCGCCTCGACCATGACACGGGCTTCCCCGACAAGTTCGTGCGCCTGGCAAGGAAGGACCGGGTCAACGAGGCACCTGTTGACCTTACTCCCGAGGGTCACTACAGAAACGCCCACGGCGAGTTCCCCTTCCAGGACGGGGACAAGAACCAGGGCTTCAAGCCCTACAATGCGAGCTTACTACGCCAGGCCAGGATAATCATGTCCACGCACGACGCGTCAGAGGCACTTGGTCAAAAGGACAGCCCCCCAATCGTCGTCCTAGTCATCGACGAGGCCGGACGCGCCACTCAGCTCCACGCGCTCATGTCCATGATAAATCTGATTAACAGCGGAGGGACCGTGGCCCTCGTCGGAGACCCCAACCAGCTGCCCCCCACAGTGCTCTCCAAACTGGCGAACGAACTAGGGTTCTGCGTCAGCATCTTCGACAGGATGTTCCACGCACTCCGCGGCCAGGAGTCTTCAGTAGTTCACCTTTCAATCTGCTATCGGATGCATCCGCAGCTACTCGCGTTCCTGAACGCAGCCTACTACGGGAAAGGCATGAAGTCTGGCATCCTGGATCCGCTCAGAGAGCGGCCAATAGTTGAGGGCATCCCCTGGAGAGACATTCGCGCGTGGGAACCTGGACGACTGGCAGAGCTGGCTACTCTCACTGGTTCCGACGAAAGTGACTTCCGCGCCACCCTTGAGCCCCTGGGCCCGCCGCTGGGCCCAGACAAGCACCGTTTCCTAATGGTGCACACGCCCTCCTGGGAGGTCACCTCCGAGCTACAACCAGGCTTTGCCAATCTTCCGGAGGCGGCCCAAGCCGTGGATATTGCGCGCGCCCTGCTACCGGAGCTCCACAAGGGCACCGCTGTCAGAATCGTGGTCGGCTACCAGCTCCAGACGGCCATTCTCAGGGACGGATGGCCGCAGGGCCCTCGTCACCTCACCGGCGTTCTGCGCAGCGCCAGAGGTGGCGCCAAAGGGCAGCCCGGCAAGGGGAAAGACGGTCCTGGACGCGGTGGTCAGGACATTCCTGGCCCTGGACATCCCCCCCAAGGCCACAGGGTGGACACTCACCGCTGGCAACAGGTGTTCCGGGAAGACGACAATGCTAACACTGCCATCAGTTCTAACTTCCCTGGGCTACGTCAGGTGGCGGGCGAGCACATGGGCACTGGGGCTCTCGAACTCACGACAATCGACTCCAGCCAGGGAGGCGAGGCGGACATCGTAATAGTGTTAATTACCCGGAGCAACGGCAGCTACAACTGGGGTTTCGTCGACGACGCTAAGCGCCTGAACGTGGCAATCACCAGGGCCAAGCGGAATCTCCTGATCTTGGGAGACGGTCGCATGTTCGCCAACGCCGCATGGTCGCCGCAGTACGGGAGACTGACTCGCCTCTGGGTCCAGTTTCGTAGCAGCACCCCCGTGGGCCGCAGGCTCTCCCTGGACGTTGACGACAGCTTCGACCCACTCCAGGACCTTGCCGCATGGGTTCCCTCGCCCCCTGCCTGGGGCAGCGTCGCAAAGGGGGAGAAAGGACAGAACGAGCTGGACGTCGCCAAGAAGAAAGCGCGCGATGCCCCGGCCACCTGCTTCGCCGAGCGGTTCAATGCACCCCTGGAAGAGAGCTTCGACTGAGACGCCCTGGGCAAGCTAATCTCGGGAGGGCCCCGCGATATCCTCTCGACGCCGGCCTTCCACGTGCTCATCTACCTCATGTCCGGGCTGCATCCTCACGAGTTCACGTTGGCCAACACCGCGGCAGCCGGGCATGCTCGACCGTAAGGCTTGGTCGCACCTGGGGCTCTTGTTTGACATGTCTCTCGGGCTCGACGCGACCAATCTAGTCTACAACACGCTATGGGCAGCAATGGTCTGGTCGCTCGGCCTAGGCACCCCCTGGAGGGATGCGAGCTACGCCGTTCCCGACGACTCCCTTC